TACAAAAGTTAGCTCATCAAAAGAGCCTATTATTACGGGCAAAAATAAAGTAAATTAAACTATTTGGGGCCGGTGTCTCAATAGCGAGTCACCTTCGGGTTGGTTTTAACTCCAGGGTAAGTGTGTCCAGTTGCAATGTTTACCCTGGAGTTATGCTTAACCTGGGGGTGAGTTTCTATTGAGAAACCGGCCCTTGGAGGAACCCCAAGTGTGACAGATGGTGGTATATTGTGTAGCGATTGTGTTACGATTGTGAGATATTGTGCAACGATTGTGATATGATTGTGAGAGATTGTGACACAATTGTGAGAGATTGTGTAACGATTGTGACAGATTGTGTGAGATTGTGTAACGATTGTGACAGATTGTGAACGATTGTGAATGATTGTGTGAAGATTGTGAGAAATATGTACACCGACTGCAAGACCTATTCACCCCTCGGGTTAGAAGCTCATTTTCCCAGAGTTTCAAATTTTTCCAGTAGAAAATTACAAAATGAGGAATCTTGTAAATCAACCTATAATAACTGAATTAATTGAAAATACAGTCTCACATAGGTATTTCAAAGTTTTCCTGGAAAACTGGAGAAGGGAAAATTTTGAAACTTTTTGCATGTAAAGAGGAAGGTGAGAAGCTCATTTTCCCAAAATTTCAAATTTTTCTAGTGGAAAACAGCAATATGAAAAATTTTGGAAATCAATCTACAAAAACTGAACTAATTAAAAATACAGTTTCACACATTTCAAAGTATTCCTGGAATACTATACCTTTTCAACTTCAAATTGGGACTAAACAACTTTAAGTTGGGAACTAACAAAATCATATTGAGAATTAACAATATCAAATTGGGAATAATCATATTCAATTTGGTACTAATCAACTTCAAATTGGGACTAATCAATTTTAATTTGGGAAGAAACAAATTTAAATTGGGAATAGAATTATTCAATTTAGGAAATTATATTTGAGACTTTGACTTTGAGTTTGTTTTTCTTTCCGATTACATTCAAGTCCCTTAGAAAATCATGAACTATTTCTTCGAATTTGAAAAAAATATTTGTGCCAGCTCATATTCAACGCTTTATACCTGATGGCCGGATGCGCTAAACATGGCTGATTAGTGATTTGCGAATGAAAATATTTCATCAAAATGAGATTATGTTCAAATTTTTCTTTTATATCAGCGTAATTTCAGGATTTTCCTCTATGTATCCAGTCATTTATACCTTATGTTCTTCTAAAATGTTTGTTTTTCTTTGTCCCCCACGTTTCCTTCGAACAACTTCTTGGGTACCTACCCATCGATAAGCTGTAGATTTTTTTATAACCAGTGTGTTATCCAATTTTCTTCAGTGGCCTTTGATATTAAAAACAGCACATATTTGCTTCTCAGCATTTTCTGCATCAGGTGTTTTAATTTAAGGCGTTTTGTTAATTTAATATACGGTTTAAACGCGTAGCTGCCGGTTGACTTGCAAAACTTTAAAATTTATTAAACAATTCCAATTTGAAGTTGATTAGTACCAAATTTAGATTGTTTATTTCCAATTTGACTTTGTTTATTCCCATTTTGAACGTGTTAGTTACCAATTAAAAGTTGATTAATCCCAATTTGAAATTGCTACGTTCCAAATTGAAATTGATTGTTCCCAATTTGAAGTTGAAAAGGTATAGTGAAGGGAAAATTTTGAAACTTTTTGCATGTGAAGAGTAGAGAAGTTCAAGGCTCATTTTCCCAAAATTTCAGATTTTTCCAGTAGAAAATAACAACATGAAAAATCTTGGAAATCAGCCTACAAAAACTGTATTGTTAATTAATGTATGTACCGTGCATTCAATTTATCTTGATAACATTTTAATTCGCTGTAACTTTTTTGTTTTTGAAGGTATCAAGGTAAACAAAAAAACAAAATGTAGGGTTGGTAGCCAAGTTTTTTTTCAAGGTACCTATAAAACAAAACACTATTAATTTTATGACATATGAGCCTACATTATATTTTTTCAAATGGAACACCCTGTATATTATATATGGGTTTGATAGAATATCTTATTTCGATTACAATGATATAACACACTTTATATTTTAGTCCACTCGTTTTTGACAAATCGGCAAAAATATGATATTTTTATATGCACTATCAATGATTCTCTCCCCAAATATCAGATCGCCGCCTAATAAGTTTCACTTCAAAAGTTTCCTATATTTTTGCCAATGTGTCAAAAACGAGTGGACTAAAATATGGAGTGTGTTATATCATTGTAATCGGAATAAGATATTCTATCAAACACATATATAATATACAGGGTACTCCATTTAAAAAAATATAATGTTGGCTCATATGTCAGAAAATTGATAGTGTTTTGTTTTATAGGTAACTTGAAAAAAAACTTGGCTACTAACCCTACATTTTGTTTTTTTGTTTACCTTGATACCTTCAAAAACAAAAAAGTTACAGCGAATTAAAATGTTATCAAGATAAATTGAACGCACGGTACATACATCATGAAGTGAAGTTTTGGGAGATAATGACAGTAGGAAATTGACTTTTTTGCAACTTTGAGAGGCTGTAAAACCTAAACTGTCAATTTGACAGCAAAACCGATTTTACATTCCTATCTTAGATTTTCATAAGCTATCATTTGACACCAATTTTGAATTCAATCCGAGATTAAATTTAATTGGAATTTTTAATCATGGATTAAATTCAAGGTTGGTGTCAAATGATAGCTTATAAAAATCTAAGACAGGAATGTAAAATCGATTTTCCTTTAAAATTAACGGTATTACAGTCTGTCAAAGATGCAAAAAAGTTAATTTTCTACTGTCATTATTTCCGAAACAGTTCAAGATAGGTATATGACATTATTCATGAAATATGTCTAGAATTTTCTGCAGAATCCAGAAATGTCATAATGTACAGGGTGTCCCATTTAAAAAAATATATTTTTTTGTTTTTTAATTTTTTTGCAACACCCTGTATGAACAAAACTATGTTTCCTGAAAAATGTTTTTCAAGCACTACAACTTCCCTATTTACATTTTTTTGATACACGGTGGCACAAAAAAGTTAAGGGAGGTGGGAAAATATTAAAAATGACCCTGTACAGGGTGTCCACTCAAATTTCAATAAGTATTATTAGGGATTTTTTTAGAAAAAATTTGATAACAAATTCTTGTTTTGAATGGTCTAAAACCCAAATGTACTAATTTTTGTTTCGATACGATACAGGGTGATCACAACAAACTTTATGAATTAAACCGCAAAAATGTCACATTTTGAGCTTACTACAAGTTTTGATTAAGGATGTTCTAAAACTATGTTGCATCAAGTTTTTTGTTCTCAAGACTTAAAAATAAGGCATTTTTGCGGTTTGCTCTATTAATTTTTGCAAATTTGATCTGCTCACCCTGTATTGTATTGAAACAAAAATTAGTATATTTGGGTTTTAGACCATTCTAAAGAAGAATTTGTTATCAGATTTTTTCTAAAAAAATCCCTTATAGTACTTATCAAAATTTGAGCCTTTAAATGTGAACACCCTGTACACTAGTACAGCCACAGAAATAAAATTATGAATCTAATAAGTGCCAAATTCAAGTAGATATAAAAAAAAAGAATCAGTCAAAAAATAAAATTTTTAGAAGGATGATCAGTTCTCAAGCGGGACACACTGTATACCGGGTGTTTTTCAAAACCTGCTTACCCCTATAACTTTTTTATTTTTCCAAATAAACAAATGAAATTTGGTGTTTTTATTTATGTCCCGGATGTGCATTATTTAGCTATTTAAATTTTTCCTTTTTAATCTAGAGCGCCATGAATCAGTTAAAATGCTCAATTTTGCTCCAAGGAACCTGGTCCGGTCCGGTCAAACTGGAAGTGACAATACACCAAATTTCATTTGTTTATTTGGAAAAATAGAAAAGTTATTGGGGTGAGCAGGTTTTGAAAAACACCCGGTATAGAGAAATAGTATGGACCCTAATTAGGGATTTTAGATATATTATATTATAGGACTTATTACCAGTCATTGTATTACGTACTGCTTAAAGTTGCTTATTAAAAAAAAAAAAAAAAATCCTACAGCCGTGCGGAAAAATCAATTTTCCGCACTGATATGTGTGCGGAAAATGAGTTTTCCCGCACGCATATCAGTGCGGAAAAAGTTTTTCCGCACAGCTGTCAAAAAAAAAAAAAAAATTACATTTTTACGCCTGCAGGAAAAATATTGTACCTAACACTTGCAGAAAAATTCATTTTCCGCACTTGTTAGGTAAATAGCTATAGTTTTAATTTTTTTTGTCACAGCCACAGTGAAATCGAAAGGCTATTTTTCGCCTTGACGCTGCATCACACTCCTACATCTATTCTGATTGTAGTTATTTTTAATTAATTAATATTATATTTTCATACTGAGCATCATAGGACTTTTCTGCCCTATGGCTAGAATATGCAGAGTAGCTAATCAGCTACCCAACAATTTTGATTTTTTTGGCATGTCTCTAAAAACTTGTAAACAACTATTAAATGCTCTACAGCACTAAATGTCAGTGTATTTATATATGTACCGTAAATGTTAAATTTCAAGCTGTTGTGTTTTTCTTTAATATTACAACGTCATATATTTTTGTATTATCTTATTTACTGTAAATGGCTTGTCCGTTAATAAACTTTATTTTTTTATTTATTTACTTAAACGACATCATCTGGAGCCTGTTAATGTGCCTCTAGAAAACTTTTTCATCCTCATAGATATTTTTTTTTTGTTGGAAAATATAAGAGAATTTATGCCTAAATTACCTATTTAAATTTTAGAGAGAGTTTTTCAGAATTATTGAACTTTGGAACCAATTAGGTACCCCCTAGGTAGGTGAGGTGGTAACTAAAGTTTCCACACTGCCACACTGAAAATGGAATTTTCCAGTAAGGCGTGGTGGTACCAACTCGGGTACCAACAACCTCTACTCTAATCAAACAAATCTCAGCAAAAACGCTTACCTGGATTTGAAAATTGCGTTCCATCTCCTGGGACTGGCAACTGGCAGTACCAGAAGCAACACGAGAGCGATTTCGGCGTACAGAAAACCTGCGATCAGGGTCCACTGGATACTCATTTTTCAAAATTTCTTTTACTGAAGGTCGGATTTCACTACTGATATTTGATTTAGGTAAAGACCGGCTACTAGGGTTTTATATATAGCCTCGGAGCTACCAATAAAATTACGTGTATATTTGTTCGAAAATAGAATGACTAATGAAATTAAAAATAAAAGTTGTGAAATGTCCAAAAAAAAAAACAGTTAAACTGTCAAAAGTGTCAAAGTGACTTTTGTTGATGGGCCCCAAAAAAAAAAAATAGCGTTTTCGGTTGAATAAAAGGAGAGCGGCTCGAACAATATATGAAAATAATAAATACAACCTTAAGGGTGTGTTATTTAATTCTTGCGCTTAGGCTTAGGTTTACCCACAAGAATGTGTTTTTTCTTTTAAACGACTTGCCGCACCAATTTCGTATCCCTTTGGCCGAACTAGTGCTACACTAGTGCAATATTTGTCAACCGATGATAACTCCAGTGCAGGTTTTTGAAGACAACCAGTTCAATCGCACTTTCCTGCTCTAAAACCGCGGTTCACATTTGCTTCGAGCAGTTTTAAGGCAGTTACAAATGAAAACCGCTAATGAGTGTGTATAAATTAGTGGGCGATTTTGCACTAGTCACTCTTAAGTGCCAGTGCGAGTCACCTCCAGGGTTGGTTTGTAACTCCAGGGTAAACGTGTTCAGTAGCTATGTTTACGCTTGAGTTATGCGTGCATAACCCAGGAATGATTTGCTATGCTATTGGAAAACCGGCCCTAGGGTAAATCTGTGACGTCATGAATGTAACCCGTGGATCATATTCCGAATCAGAGAGCCGGGATCACGACAAGTAGAATTCTACTTTCATGACGTCACCCGCGACCTATTTATCGCCTACAGTACAGGCGATGATGACGGTTGCTAGGCAACCTGACGTCATGAAAGTGGAATGCTAGTAGAATTCTACTTATCGTGATCCCAACCCAGTTCGGATCTCTGAATAGCGCTGTTCGCGGAAAATACACTTGCTAGATCATACGACGCAGCGTAGCGACCATGTCGAAATGTTGTAAGGCCGGCAGAACCCGTGATACTTTTCTGAACTAGAGAAAATCATGAACTGGTTTATTGATATACGCATACGGTACACAGGTTGTCCTAGAACCATTAACCTCACTATAGTTCATTGGTCCAGAGCATTTCTGAACTGGTTTTCACTGGATCACATTAAAAATTCATTTGGAACCGGTTCCAGATCATTTCAGAATTGATTTTTAAAGTTGAATTGTTCGTAATTCAATTAAAACCGATTCCGAATAGTTTTTTAAATCTTGAACTGGTTCACAATCGAGCAATCTTTAATTTGTGTGCCATGTGCCAGATCATTGAATTTACTGTTCTTTGTTCGCAGTGCAACTAGAATCAGTTCCAAATCAGTTTTATTTGTTTTTCAACCCAAAAACCTGTTCCGAACTTGTTTGCCTTTATACTCTTCAATATTCGAACTCACTCTATTTACTTCAAAAGAATAAAAAAAATACAATCTTGAACGATTTGCTTCCTCAGAGTACTCGAAATATGGCAAATAAAGTAATTATGTTCATATTTGAGTAAGAAGGAAAATAAATATAACTTTTCAACGAATAAACCTACTCTATTTACTCTAAAACAGTAGTACGAGTGAACAGAGTTAAATTTAGTGCACTAAAACGAGAATCTCAAACCAAATGGAGTAACTGCTAACGTTGCCCTATTAGTTTCGAACATAAAAAAAACCTACACTACATAGATCCAGAATTAGTGTTCTAAAGGCAACAATAAACAAATTTTGAGTTAAAAATGTCGATTGGAACGAAATCACCTCTGAAAATTACGCAAACATAAACCGAATTTTCGCGACTACTTCCATGATTTCATGAACATAAACACTCTCCCGAGAATTACATGACGTCATATTGGACGTAGTTCGATGGAAGCATGGATGCAGCTCCTAATCAGCGTTCAAACTCATGACGTCATAGGACAACTATGTTTCGTCCTTGGATGAACTACATTCGTCGCGAAAATTCAGTTATAGCCTACAAAATTCAAAAATGCTGGTAATGCAGGCACCTGCAACGATAAATAGAACTCTATTTAAAGGGGGTGTGCGCCAAAAATTAAAAGTTTAGTGTAAAAAAATCTAAGAATAACTGTTCAAACCTCGTTATTCTACGATAAACCATCGCTGAGATATAGCGCTTCAAAGTGTGTGTGACGTCACAAGAGCTTCGTCTAGCCGCGCTCCGCATTGTTAATTTGATTGTTCCCGGCACGCGTGACTGGTTTCTGTTTAGATTATTGCAGGTGACACAAAAAAAACATATGTAAATTCAATTTACTTCTCTATCTCGTGAGTCGCTCGAGCTCTCGTGACGTCATAGGGTGAAATGCGGTACCTTCATAGAGCTATATCTTCGGTATAAGTTGTCATAGAGGGGTGCGGTATTCACTGTTATTCTTAGAATTTTCTCCTTTTGTTTTTAGATGAAGTTGTTTTTTTGGCGCACACCCCCTTTAAGTTAGGTTACTTGTCATTTTTAAAATAAAATTATTCTATCAATCAAAAGCGTTTTTTCGCGGGGCGAATGATTCAAACTACGGTTTAAAAACCACTTTGTAGATGACGTCATCATTGGTGAACGCGAAAAAATGGAAGGTTTGAACACAGTCTTATGTCAACGGATAACAAACCAAAGATTGCAGTTAGAACTTTCTTGAACCAGGTTTTATGTTCCGTCACTGGATCAGCGCAAGAATGTACAGGTTCGAACCTTATTGAATAGGATTGAACCAGTTTCACCGCGAGAAAACAGCTCAAATGTTCGAACTTTTGACCGACTTGCCGCACCAATTTCGTATTCTTTTGGCCGAACTGGTGCTACACTAGTGCAATATTTGTCAACCAATAATTACTTCAGGGCTGGGATCACGACATACAGAATTCTACTTTCATGACGTCACGTTCGACCTAATTATCGCGTACAGTCAATGAACTATAACCAAAAACTGAAATGCTAACACATAAGGACGAACGTGAAGCCTAGTGCGGCTGCTGCGGAGGGGATACCTGTTTTTGTCGCACTCATTATGTTTAATGGCGAAAATTGCTTCCAACACGTATTCCAATTGATGAAACCTGTGAAGGGAAATATGACAAAACTTTCGAAAACGTCATATTATGACAGCGGGCAACATGTGTATGGCCGACCAAATGTTAATTTTTCAATATTCGCCTTACTCAATCGTTTGGTGGTCGTTTGGTGGTCTTTGGTATCCCACTTTTAGTATTTGGTGGTAATTACTTAGGCAGTAATTAACAATTCAAAATTTCATATGACGTTGGCCGACATAACCTGATTCTAATTTATTTTTTGGCCCATTTATAGTCAAATCTACTGGCAAATCGAACGGAAATCGTTTGGTGGTCACGAATTTACCGAATTTAACGTTTGGTAGTCAATATTGTGGTGACCACTGACCACGACAACGACAATCCAGTAATCTAGTATCCAGTACAAGCAGAGTCCGCGACTCGCGAGTTGACACGCCACCGGCCCACCGCCAGTTCCGGATCGCAACGGCAACGCCGCGATCGAGGCGGCTCAATGTAAAACAGATAATATATGCGCATGCGCGACGATTAATTAAAATATATCAGAAAACAATCTTATTTGATTAATTACTCCGGTATTATTGACTAACAAACGCTAAATTCGGTAAATTCGTGACCACCAAACGATTTCCGTTCGATTTGACTATAAATGGGTCAAAAAATAAATTAGAATCAGGTTATGTCGGCCAACGTCATATGAAATTTTTAATTGTTAATTACTGCCTAAGTAATTACCACCAAATATTAAAAGTGGGATACCAAAGACCACCAAACGACCACCAAACGATACAAGCGATGATGACAGTTGCTAGGCAACTTAACTTCATGAAAGTAGAATTCTACTCGTCGTGATCTCAGCCCTGTATAGATTTTTGAAGACAACCAGTTCAATCGCACTTTCCTGCTCTAAAACCGCGGTCCACATTTGCTTGAAGCAGTTCTAAGGCAATTACAAATGAAAACCGCTAACCAGTGAGTAGAAATTAGTGGGCGATTTTACGATAGTCACTCTAGAGCTGTTTCCTCGCAGTGGAACTGGTTCAATTCGGTTCGAACCTGTACTTCCTTGCGTTGAATTAGTGACGCCACATTTAACCTGGTTCGAACCGGGCTCTTGGCTTGTTCTCCGTTGACATAAGACTGTGTTCAAAGTTCAAACCTTCCATTTTCTCGCGTTTACCAGTGATGACGTCATCTAAAAATTGGTTTAAACCTTAAACCCTAATTTGAACCATTCGCCCCGCGATTTTGTAGGTTATGTTTTCAGTGGAGATTTCGTTCCAATCGACATTTTTTACTCAAATTCTATTTATTGTTGCCTCTAGAACACCAATTCTGGATCCAGTGAAGGTTTTTTTTATGTTCGAAACTAAACGGGCAACGTTAACAGTTACTCCATTTAATCTGAGATTCTCGTTTTAGTGCACTAAATTTAACTCTGTTTACTCGTATTACTGTTTTAGAGTAAATAGAGTAGGTTTATTCATTAAAAAATTGTATTCATTTTCCTCCTTATACACAAACATGAACATAATTACTCTATTTGTCATATTTGGAGTGCTCTGAGTAAGCAAATCGTTCAAGATTGTATTTTTCTTACTCCGTTGAAGTTAATAGAGTAGGTTCGAATAATGAAGAGTAAAAAGGCAAACGAGTTCGGAACAGGTTGTCGAGTTTATGAAAAAATAGAACCGATTTGGAACTGATTCTAGTTGCACCGCGAACAAATGACCTGGAACACAAATTGAAGATTGTTCGATTGTGAACCAGTTCAAGACTTCAAAATCTATTCGGAACCAGGTCGGGGATTCTAAAATCACGATTCGACATATGATTCGACAACGAGACGATTTTTCCGACGATTCTAGGTTAGAAATCTCATTGGAATTATACCTTTCGACACGACAAAGCCGGTATCGTTGTCGAGTCGTGTGTCGAATCGTGATTTTAGAATCTCGGCCCAGTTTTAATTGAATTACGAACAATCGATGTGCTCCGATACAATTCAGTTTGGTTTATTTTGAATTTGGAACAGCAATTGTAGCAGTCGGAACTCTAAAAATCAATTCTCAAATGATCTGGAACCGGTT